GGATCTTCAGTCAAAGGTGTTGAAGATGCCCTCCAAATGTGAATACAAACAGTTGATCATTATGCCACCAGGTTTAGTGGAATAATTTTTACTATTCCTACAGCACCAAAAGTAGTCTTTTGCGCCAAAAAGTGCCATCTCTAGTTTGTCTTGGCTGTCAGTGTGATAAATTATCCTCAGTAAATAGACATACACAAGGGGCTGCCTTTGGAATTTTGTCCATATTACGCGGTTATCTCACTGGGGCTAATGAAAAACTGCTCACCAAAGTCCGGTACTTTTGTCGGGCGATTTATCTCCCATTATCGTAGGAGAGTAGGAAGCATTATATTCAATGAGCATCAACATCTTTTGGGCGTGTTACAGGCGCGTAAATAGTCACAATAAATTGCTGTCCAGAAGGTTTCATAGCTAGAAATACGACCAGGGATAAAGCACTGAAAATACAATAATTGTAAGTGCAGGGGACAGGAGACGACAATAAATCATGACACTAATACGCGCAAACGCGAGTGTTACAGTCGCTGACGAAGATGGGATAAGATGGCTTCTCATTGATTGCAGGCAGGCACACTGCACATTGACCGGGTAAGATCCTCTTGGTTGTATAATACGCCGCGAGCCTGATAGATCCAGCCATCAGTGCACTCGTACATTCCATTCAAGGTGCTGACTGTAATGCTTCCATTTATTTTGGTGACTAATGAAAAAAAACACAAACGTTATTGCAATTTTTTGCAAATGGTACTCTCTATCTATTATGCACAGTGCCTGGTACGTCTAATCAGGACAAACGGTTCCAAAGAGGCCGTAAAAGAAATAAAGAAACGACCAGTTGGCCAAGCCATTCTCACGCAAAGACGAGGGACATAGCTGAGTGAATGGGCCAATCAGATAGGAGGAAAAATCGATAGTCACGTCGCGCTCTCATGATAGCTGCGTTAGATGAGCTCGCGGGCCTTTCTATGAGATGAAGAATCATGGGAATGGGCGCATTCCCAAAACTATCAAAAAACTATTATTATAGTGATCCTAAGTGAATAAGCTGAGTTGGCGACTTATAGTTCAAATCCAGATTAAGCCAACTAACATCCTCTTTTTCAAAAAGCACAACATTCACAGACAATTTTCAAAGTGGAAATGAAGTAAACAGGTAGGGTTCCGAGTTTTAGGGAATCGCAACCGATTATAGGCTTAAACACAGATAAGTGCATCTTTTTTAATGAGGCGGTTGCGTGGCAACGAACAATTAACATCAAACAGTTGGAGAAGTCATGTTCGACAAACTTTCCCTTTTTTGATTTTCATCCTCAGGCCTATAGGGCAGGGCAATTTAGGATAGAACAGCCAAAGTTAAAACAACCGCTAGATTGTAGTTATGAAGAGATGGCTACGGGCGTTCAGCTTTGTCGGGACTAATTTTAGCCGGGTTCTGCTAGAGACTTTGAGGAGGCGAGAGGGAGAAAGAAGTAGAGAAGGAGGAGCCTTGCCGTGGCACAACACAGTAGAGAACAAAGTAGCCATATCCTGAGCTAGCATTACAAATATTACGATAGAACGTAGCAAAGATACTCATTTAGAAGTGTAAGTAATACAGTTTGACACATGTAAGCTTTTCGAATAAATATCCTCAGGCCTGTAATAGAAATATTGAGGAGGCTGGCAGACTGAACGGTTAAGCGGTCAACGAACAGTGTTTATTGGATGAAGGATTTGGGGACGTTCAGGGGTCAAGCAGGTTTCTCTATATTTCCACCGGCAGCTTGTGGAGGAGGGGAGGGACAATGACCTATGTCTCTGTTTCGCAGATGGGATGTGATGAAGATTATGGGTTTATCTTGGATCATGGAAGTTTATGGACCTGTGTTAACGCCTTGCTCAAGGTTAGAGTGACTAACCGAATGATCGCTGCCTCTAACGTCACAAGCATCCATTTGTGCAGTTACCCTTCACTGTACAAATGGCTCGAAATGTTTGGTTGACGTCTACCCTGTGTTCACTATCAAAACTATGCTAAAAATATATTTTATATATTTCAAGGAAAGGAGTCCTTTGGAAAAATTAGGAAAATTTGTTTAGTAAATGTATTGATTTAATCAATCTGGAGGGTACTCTTGCATCCGCTTGGATGGGTGCTTAATCCTTCGACCACTTTAACCCGGTCCAGGTCAGAGGATGAAAACATCTTAAATATAGTTGGTCGAACCTGCGTTTTTTCAATCTCACCACGAGTATTTAAAAGTTTTTTTAATTCGGTATCATAGTCGATTGTGCATACCCAATATGAAATGGGAAGAACCCATGGTTTGCACCCCCCACTGTCTCTAGTAACTAAGAATATTTGCTAACATTCTGACATTAGACAAAAACTTCACATCCCATAAGCTGCCTGTGGGGATATGCATTGTCAAATGCGAGCTGCATTTACCGAAAAATCTTGTTTATTGTTCAAAATGTCGGTGGTCGTACAAAAACTTACTTACCCCTTTATATAAATCACTGTGGACGCATAAGAGCAAAAAATTTCAAAACCTCCGCATTAATTTCCATTTTGTTTGTTTTCAGAAATGCCTCATTCTTTGTTGTTCCTTGGGACGATAATTCTTACCTAGGAACATTTACGTATTAACCTTTAACCAAATCACTACACGGGTGTGAAGACTGTACCTTGTATGTCTATGTAGTATCAGAGAGTAAAAAATACGGATTATTTGCCAGAAACTACCCAGTATGGTCTGAAATCTATGCAACTCAGTTACAATCATTCACATTTTTTGTGCAAACATCGTTTTATTAAAGCATTGGGCGTCGTTCGTCAAGGTTCCACAGTCGTTTACTTCAGAAGTAGTTCTTTTTTGTTTCAATACATTTCGTGCCACTGTTACGAATAGACCTCTGCTTTCTATTCACCTAGGAGACTAAGGCGCCCTGAGCTATCTGAACTCAATTCTGTTACCCTCCAGTTTACAAAAAGGAAATTGGTCAAAAAGGCTCAGAAAATGTCCTCCACAGAATTTTGAATTACCGAACTCCTGGTTGACTTGGCTGACGTCAAATCGAACATATTCCCGAGTGAAGGCGAAATTAGCGGTTGGAACATCGTATGCTTGCGACGCATGTAGTTCAACCAAAAGCAAAGGGAGCGGGTATATCAGACGCCGGAGTACCTGTAATAAAAATATAGAGAACTTTGTCACAAACTACACTGCTTAAAAGCAATAGCAAAGCGTACATTGTATGCCTTTTAAACCATAATCCACTACGATCTGCTTTCTTAATTTATCCAAAAAGGTCTACTAAGACGCCAAGTTTAGTACAGCCCCTGTTGTTTAATTAACCTTATTCCACAAGCACTGGTTAACCTTCCTCGCTAATTTCGTCTGCACCATGCCTGTGACCAAGTTTTATGATTTTATCCTTAGGTACAAACATACAGTGGGTATCTCTTAAGTAAATATCTTGACTAGGTTTAAGTAGCTGGGTATATTTTGAAATATCAAAGACTGCAATAATTGAGAAGTGCAACTTAAATTTATATGGCGGTTTAAGTATGTCCATTTATTTAGTGACTATAAGCAGAGTACCTCTTGTTCACAGCATCCGAGTTAATGCGACAGTTTTGTACATTGGTTTGTAATCAGCCTGCTTGTGATAACGGGATGTTTAAGTTCGCAGGATTGCTTTACCCGGTTATCTGATGACCCCTTACCGACGTTACTTTTGTGTTTTTTGCTTCCATAAGAGGCATCCTATCCTAAAAACTGCGCGAGTTATGAAGCTAAATGTTGTAAACTTCATGTAGTTCAGTGTGACGATAGGATTAGATTGGAATTGGAAAAGCACAGCTCCAGTGTGAATCCCTCGGATTTTGAAGCGTCATCTGATGGAAAATCGGTTCTTGGGTGTTGAATGTGCGTGTTTGGTTTTAAGTGGTTGTTTGTCCTGTTGTTGTTATACATTTGTTTTTCAACAAGGTTCTATAGATTCTTATTGGTTTGTCCCTTGGGGCAGCTAGTTTATTGAAAATAATTTAAACATTTAAAGGGCCTGCCAATATGAGTGATTTTGTAAGGGGGTGCATCTTGCTTTCCACAACAATCAAAGTAAGCCTCTAACTTCTGACGAAGTAGTGTTCGAAACCCTCCAAAATGTGCATCGTTAAATGCTGCGTGCTACTTACGCAAATACTATTCGAAAAAAACGAAAAAATTACTTTATGTAGTGCACTTCATACATCCCTAATCACAACATTTTGTTCTACGGAAACCGTGGTTATAGGGGTTTTTGGGGTTGCAAAATAGGATATACAGCGAAGGAAATTTGTAAAAGAAAGTGCCAAGTGCGAAAATGTAGTTGAACTTGTTTCCCGAGGCCGCTGGGAATAAGTTGTTCCGCATGTTAACTGAAGGTGTGCGCGGTGCTTTGCCCCACGGACTATACTAAAGTAACTCCAGAACGGTAAGTTTCACCTCAGGAAATTTGAAGTAGCCGACATCTTAAGCCCCGTTTCTATTTTTTCAGGAATTTCAAGAAACCTGCATTTTTATTATCGGGTCTTTCCGCAATACGTTAAACGATAAAACAGATTAGGAACATCTATAGCTAAATCAACAACATTTCCAACTACAATAAAATAAAAGTTTACATAGCAGTTATTAAGGTATATTCCATTGCCTATCCTAATTCCTCACCCATAAAACCCCTAAAACCACCTTGTCCATAGGACAAAATGCTGGGTCTAGGGGTATATGAGGTGCAATACTCAAACTACTGTTGCCGAAAAAACAACCTTGGTTAATCTGTAGCGCACATAAAGCAGCAATTTAATATATTTCAGCATGGCAAACAGTTGCAAGAAGTAAATGATAATTCTACATCGGAAACGTTACATATGTTCGTCTGGGTGGATCGGAAAGGATCGCTGCTCCGACCGCGGCGTCAGCCTTCATAGTGTTCAGTGCTTCGTTGGTTGGCGCGAAATACGTGTACGGACCTCCCTTAGTTTGCTCGCCCAGAATGTTCGTAGCTAGGTACTCACTGTAGCCAAATGGAAAGTAACTGTTAGGTAAGCCATTAATTCGAAGAAAGCAAACTCAAAACATTCTAGCCTGTATTTGGTTGGCTAAACGGGCCTCAAATGGATATCTGTAGGGGGCCTTCTGCTTTATCTGATTCATAGGACATTTTTTCTTTCAAAATATTGCAGTTAGAACTTTCGAGAGAAACGTCCAAAAAGATAGTGCAAACTATATGTACTTGTCAGAAGATTGATTGGTGGTCGGAGGTTTGCTTTCGATAAATTCTCTTCAGGCCTGTACGTTTATATCATAATTAATTAAATAAACAATGTGGGTTGGTAGAAAAAAATAGTGAAGTTTTCGGTGGGTGGCAGGGGGGAGGGGATGCATTGGGGTCAAAAATTTGATCAGCATCAGTGGCCCTGCCATTTAATTACGACGTAAATGTAAAGGCCTGAAGATAATTTGTCCGCAAAACTGTCTTCTAGGGCCGCCTAAATATATATTTCCCCGCCTAACAGTCTTATGGAATGGGTGGTAAGACATTTAATTATTAGTTAACGAGTGTAATTGTGTTGAAATGTAACTTATATTAACCTATATTAAATATTAAATTAATACGACTGAGCGTTGTTTTAATGAGCTTAATAGAATCAATTCCATCAACATTAACTCCTGCTGCTGCTCAGACATCTTATGCCTGTTGATGGTAATTCGACCTTATCTTGGCGGACTTTAACGAAAAGGGGCAAAGTCAGTCTACTGTAAATGTAAAAGTTGCTTATTATTATATGCAGAAGGCAAATAGCACCTCTTAAGAAAGTCCTACCAATCTATCGGAAGCAAACACACTAGGCTCGTAAATTTATCTGATAAAAGTTTCAAAGAGAAGATTCGCAAATATATAGTTAATTCAAATTCAAAAAACAGGCCTATACTAATGAAGATTTTGGAGGAATGATACATTTTTATACAGTACGGTCGCTATTTCGTGCAAAATTACGAAATTTGCAAAAGATTGACAATCGTTTGCAAACCAGTGTTAAGTAGGGTTTGTAGAGTGACTATTGTGCAGCCTAATCTCCAGTTACTTCAGTCACGACAGAACGCTAGCTTCCTCAGAAAGTCTTTCCTGACAACTTAAAATAATTATCTTCTAAAGAAAATGACTACTTCAAAGGTTTGCCCCTATAAATTCAACTATTTTATTTGAGATTATTCTTTATTGTACTCCTCTACATCGCCTTCAAATTTTATACTGAAAGGATGAATGTTTTTTCGATTTTTAGAAAGTTTTAAAATTTCCGAATAATTTTGAAACCCACCGACCATTAAAAGTGGATTTAATATTTCCATTCTGCGTGCTGTGTACCTCCTGCTTAAGGTAAAGTACGCTTTTTCTTACGGTGTGGGAGGTGTGTTTACTTTACACGAACTTTATTAACAGCTAACGATCATGCTGTATATATCATAGGCAGCATTAACAAATCGATGGATACGATGAACTATGAATGAATACCTCATAGTCGTAAAAATACTAGGGTAAGAAATTTTCTTAACCTTTATATACGCGTTCTTTAAGTATAAAGTTTGAAGAAGGCGTAATTTGCTACAAAACATATATAGGAAATTCTAATTTTGTAAATCTTTTCTTTACAATATATTAAAATTTATAACGGTAGTGCAAATTAATGAGTTAAGTGCACGCTACTTAAGTAGCCATTTGTTTTACAGAATATGCATCTTGTAATCGGCAAAGACGCAACGAGTTTAAAAGCCGCAAACCTGTCATAATTAAAAGGCCGTACCATAAAAAATATTAAAATCCCATTTAATGCCGTTTTACGAGTGGTTATCAATTTTTTGCAAATTTCGAAATTCTGCATTATATATGTGCCGTGCTGTAAAGGTTAAAAATGAAGATTAATCCTTTTAGTTTTTTTATACCTATATGTCCTGATCTCGCTAAGTATGGAGTGTGTGCAAGTGATTACCCAGTCTGGGTTCAATTGTTGAATATTAAATAAGTGCTACCAAACTTTACATTTAACAGTGCATGTAAGGCTGACTCACGTATAATCAATGTCTTTCGCAAGGAATTCGTGAACGGATTGTGTGGGTTTTCCGGGAATTGCGGTTATCTGGTAAACGACTCCATCCGAACCAGAACTCTCCTGGGTCATAATTTCAGCGCTAACGTATCCGTGGCCATATAGTCTGCCCTCCACGTACATCTCTTCAGGCGAATACAGAGTAAGAAATATCGCGGGCGGAGTCATAGTCAAAGCAGTTGGTGCAGGGAATTAAAAAGGCAATGCCATATATAACATAGTCCAGAATCGCTTTTTAAAGTACTCTGGGGAATGTTTGTGTTAGCAGATGCAATGCAAACGGTTAGTGCATACAGTAGACGCCGTTGATCATGCAATATTCCGACAAATGCGAAAGACTACTACTCTTTCGCTAATCGGAATTGATTCCAGTCGTGATACTGACGATCGTATAGTCGAATCTGAAGCCATTTTAGTCATGGTAGGATGCGGGCTTTATAACCAGCTTCGTTCTGATCACTGGTAAAACGTATTTATTGTAAAAACTGGCTACTTAAGTAGTATGCCTTTTTATCA